ACTCCACCCTCATTATTATCATCATTTCAATTTCACAATTTCCAATACCAATTCCATTTTCTCTTTAAAAATCTCAACATTTACATTTTATGGCAAAACCCCTTTCTCTTTAAAAATTCATTTCAATGCCAGAAATACCTCATTTCAACATATGTCAACCCCAAATTTATGATCACAACCTTTTTTAAGAAATCATTTGAAAACCCCTCTTTTACATTTTGATTTCAAACCCTAGGTTTTTACCCAAAACTCCTAAACCACTATAATCTTTCGAAACAACAAATAGCAAAGGTAAAACCCATACTAGAGTGTGGAGAATCCCTACCTCAAAGCTAGAAGACCAAGGAGAGAGTGGAGAAGCCTCAAAGAAGTCAAAATCCACTTTTGTTCGGATGAAAAGAGAGCCTGTGGAGTGTTCTACCATTTTAACAAAGGGAGTAGGGTAAAGAAATCACTAGATCTTGGTGTTTTTGTAGAGAAAATGTAAGTTTTAGAGAGAGAGTCTGTCTAAATCTAGGGTTTTTGGAATGAAGAGAGAGAGAGAGAGAGTGAAATGAAAAAGTGACCCAAAATGGTGGTTCTGCGATTTGATAAACGCACAGTTCGCTTGAGCGCAAGATGTGTCACTCGAGCAACCAGACACAATAAGTTTTACCGCTTGAGCGCAAGAAACTTCACTCGAGCACAGAATACGAACTCCCAGTAGTTTTACAGACAGAGGCCGTCGCTCGAGCGCAAGAAGCTTTGCTCGAGCGAAGAATGCAAATTCCCAATATTTTTGCAGACCTGCAAAAGTACTGGATGTTTACAAAAACCGCTCGAGCACAAGAAGTGGCACTCGAGCGAAGAAACAAAATATGGGCAGCTAAAGTTTGAAAAACAAGCTACCAACCTGTTCTAAATGCAATCAACACATTCCAAAAGCCAAACTCAAAGAGAGGTAAGGGGAAACAAGACATGAATAACTATATAAGACAATGAAACCCGGATCTAAAACATATAATGGGTCGGGTCTAAGCCAAAAGCAATATACCCTCCTTGCCAATATCTTTAATCACCTCTGTATCCTGTAGTTCTTTTATCATCTGAAGAAATCCCTTGGCAACTGGGCTGCCATTTATAGTGACAACATTGCTTTGACATAATCTGATCCCCTAAGACCTCTTCAATCCTCCCTTGTGCGTTAAGAAATTGAACCACTTGGTGGTACATTGATGACATAGCTTGCATGGTGTGCAACCATGCTCTTCCTAGAATAATATTGTAAGTGGAGAGGAATTTCAACACCCAAAACTTCACTTGTTTAACCACCAAACCTGCTTTGACCGGTAGTATGATCTTACCAACCGGCCATTCAAGTATTGAATTGAAGTTGACCAAGGGAGACGTAGCAAGTACCAAGTCTCTTTCGTCCAACTTGAGCAGCTTGAAAGTGTCATAGTATATGATCTCAACCGAGCTACCTTAGCCGATCAAGATCCTCTTCATATCAAAATCCTTAACATGCAGAGTTATCATTCGCGCACCTTTATGGGGATTCTGAAGTCTCGCTAAACCTCTGTTGGAGAAAGTTATCACATTCTTCTCATTTGCCTTCCCCTTCTTGAAGGTCAATTGGACGCTGAATACTTCCCTCACATGTTCAGCCTTCTTAATCGTGCTTGTGAGCTCACAAACTCACTCCAGCTTAATGATCTCATGGATCACATTGATAACTACTTGAAGAGGGGCGTCAAGGGGCATTCCATTCGGCATATCTTGATTTTGGGGTCTGCCCTATCTCCACCCTCAATGAAGTGGCCTAAGTATCCTACTGCTACAAACTCTTCCAAGTGTTGTTTAAACGGCACACAATCCTCAGTCCAGTGCCCCCTTTTATCATGATAAGTGCAACGGTACTTTTCATCATAGCCCCTTGGCTGGCCACCAAACATATGGCTTGTCTCGAATCTTGCTAAGGATATAGTAGATGGGCTTTTTGAATATTGTAGTAATGGTGGTGCGAGCTTTTAACTTCTTTTCTTTCTCCTCTTCATCATTCAAAGGTGGATTAGCCTGGTTGTTATTGTGGTTCTTTGTGTAGTTTCTGCCTTGTTTTCCATTTTCCCAACCATGTTAACTTTGGCTGAAGTTTTTTTGTCCGCCATAGCTATGCCGACCTTTGCCTTTGCGTGGATAACATCTTCTTCAACCCTTATGTGCTGGTTGACCCTTTCCATCAGAGTCTCCATGGTCAAAGAGGCATCATTGTTAGCGACTCTCTCAATCTATTTCCGATTGACAACCCTCGGTTATATTAGGCAATAACTAGGTTAAAAGGACATTCACCAATTTTATTGAATGTCTCCCAATACTTGTCGTTGTATGACTTCAAAGTTTCTTGAGGCCCCATGTCAAATAGTCAGCAAGTGGTCAACCTCCTTGGGTGTCTTGGTGTTTGTTTTGAATCTGGCAATAAATGCCTCTGTAAGCAGCTCCCAAGTGGGAATGCTAGCTTTTGGCAATTTTTCAAATCAAGTCAAGCCTAAATAATCCCCTAGGCTCGATGGAAACATGATGCACATCAATGCATTGTTCCTCTTGTGAATAGCTATGACTTGTTGAAAATGACTAAGGTGCATGTAAGGATCTGACTTCCCATCATGGATAGAAAACTTCAATTGGTTGAAACCTGTCGAAAGGGTGCATTCTCGATTTCTGGTGAGAACGACGTGCTATGCAATCTTGCTAGCTCTCTGTCCGTTGACATATGAGCAACATGTGGCATTGGCATTGCCACCTCAATGCTGCCATGCGTTCTGGGAGTCGGCCTCTACAAAGCTAGTACCATTCGGGGATGATTCGTTTGGGCTTCATACCTCATTTGAGCCCTTTCATTGAGGATAGTCCTCAAGTTCTTTGATATGGGCAACTCCGAAGGATAGAATGATGTCTGATGAGAATGCGAGGGGCAATAATTGCTCTCTTGTGAATAGGATCTCTCTGTCCTAGATCTCTTAGACCTTGAGTGATACGAACGTGACCTGAAAGAATGCAATTGAGAATCACCTGTCATTTGGCTTTTCCTGCTATCAGAACACACTAGCGTAGGATGTTTGTTGTGGTCCGTAGATTGATGAGATCGGGTGCGCTCATCATGCATTTCGACCCGAGCAACACCTTTTCCTTTCACTTTCAAAAGCTCTATATCCGCCGCCATCTCCCATATTTTCTCGTTCGGCACCCTGACTCTGTTCTCCAAACCTTAGGCATCACATGTTCTTTAACATTGATGTTCTTCTGGGGTTGGAGAATGTGGAGAAGGGTGCAGACGCTTGTCGCGCGCGTCTCTGCGAGGCCCCTTTCTAGGTTGAGCGCTCCGATCTTGCATTGGATCAACATGCGGCAAATCTCCAGGCCTCTTGTTGGCCTCATGAGTCTAGCCATCGACGGTGAAGAGCGAAGGATCTTCATTGTTCGCCATTAAAATCTTTTAGAAGAGCTTGATCAAAAGGTTTGTTCTATGTATTTCCTACAGATGGCTCCAATTATACGAGCATGAAATAATCGTTGCTTGTATAAACTTGGTAATCAAGCTCTTGCTCCTCTAAATGATGTCGTATGGCCTAAAATCACAAGAACACGTGAGCTTATCGGCAGGTGTGTGCCGAAAAATCCCTTCGATGCTTGAGTTATTACCCAAGATCAATATGGGAAAAAGCTCTTGAATCTTGTGAATAGAATTGTGTTACCTTATTTTAGGTTGTCTTTGAGCTTTTATAATTTCTACATGGTAGAATCCTAGTATTCTTTCTTTGTAGAGTCCTACTAGGAATCAAACTCTGAAAGGATAATGCTAATCTTTTCACACCCTTATAACTGATAACAAAGTGAATTAGCACTTTTTGGCCAAGCAACGGGGAAAATCATCATCCTAGTCGCTTGCCCATCGTGTAAATGATTAAGCCTTGCTGCTTCCAAGAAGGAATGCTATACCGAACTAACCTAGCTCGGCGTGCATCTTCACCTTACATTGACTTAGCTTGGTGTGCTGACACGATCACTAAGACAATCACTCGATCACATGATGCTTCTGTTTGCATGCCTTAATATTGGTAACGCAACACAACTAGTGCGGCCCAAAACCAAGCCTGGTTTAATCAAACACTATGCCTCATTTGCCCAGCCGAAACACCTCGATGCAATTTACCCTCTCAAGTAGCAATATGGATGTTCACATCAATAGTTGAGCTCAAACAGTGACTCCAACATTAAGTTAAATATTTACACCGTGAATTATTAGTATGAATGCTCACATCATGTTATCCACAGTGTGAATGTTCTTAAAATAAGGGATTCATTTGAAATTGAATATGAATACTAGATATAATATTTTCAATAATAATGCGAATGTTTATATCATTATATCGTGAAACTTCATATTATATTAAGCTTTCAAATAAATGTATATATGTATTATAATAGTGTGAATATTTATATCATATCATATCATAATAGGTTCCTTCTACTACACACATCCCTCGAAAAGGGGTATATCATATGCAAGTAACGACATTTCGTGGTGTTCATATTTGACATAAATAGACCACTTTCAACTATAGCTAAAGGGATCACAATGGGTTAAATATCACTTGGGACAACCAAATATCTCTTCAGTCAAAACTAAAATAACAACCACAATATAGTTACGTTATAACTAATACCAGAATGAGTCCTAACTAAATCATAATAAACACAAAAATGGGTCACAACCAAATACCAATTTAGGCATAACTCAACCTTTTCAGTCACAATCAAAATAACTATAATAGATCAAAACTAAGTTATAACCAGCACCACAATCAGCCATAGTTAAATCCTAACCAACACAACAATGAATTATAATCAAAGACCATAAAAATTGTAACTAAGCATATGGTATGCCCCCCTTTTTTGAGGTGTGAATTGTAGAATTTCCCCTTCATAAGGTGCCAGGATAATCAAAACAATAATCAAAATAATAAAGAAATTCTACAACTGATGATCAACATTATCACTTGAATATTTACTTGAGAAAATATGCACTTAATGGTAACAAAATATATCTACTGTACATTTCAGTAACAAAAACAAACTTTCACCTCATCAAGGATCAGCCAGATCAAAGAAATCTTTATGCCTCCAATCCTAAAAACTAGCACAGCATCATATATTATTCATATGAACAAGCCAGCAAGTTCAATTGACTTGAGCTGATCAAAAAAGTTGCTAGCATCATGTACCATTCAACACTTATTTGATGTTCACTTTCAAACCACAGCAAAAATTGTTAAGCCATCCACCAACTTCACCTCTTTTCCAGTTCCAAGCCTTGGCAACTCATCCCTGTCTGCATCAGTGACCCGTTCGCTAGCTCGCACTCAGAATTTGACTGTGAAAGTTAATTCCAGGGCAATACTATGCCCCATTATCACTTTACCCCCTAAACTAAAATTGGCTTAATTTGCCCCCTTAATATTCTGATTTGTTTCAATCTCAACTTTTAAAAAAGTGGCATGTGAGTTGTACATGCCAATTTTATGACCAAAATGTTCATCATATATCTTCATGTTTGGTCATAAAATTGTCATGGCCATATATTTTCTTTCACATATTTCTTCATAGGAGATGGAAAGATATAATATATATATATCACATATATGTAAATAATCAGCTTCTGAATGGGCAATTTGGTTATAAAATTGTTGTGTGCAACTCACATGCCACTTTTGCATCCTTTTTCATAATAGAAAATTAACAGAGGGTTAAAATTGAAACAAACTGAAAAATCAAGGGGGGAAAACGTAGCAATTTTTAGTGAAGGGGGTAAAGTGACAACGGCTCCTGATTGAAGATGATAAAATGTAATTTTCCCATAATTATTTGATGGAATTTGAGAACATTTAGTAGGATCCAGGCCATAACCTGAAGATTTCCCCATGCTCACTTGCAGTGCCCCCGGACGATCTCCTCATTTTCTGCCAAAGCTGCATGCCCCTTCCAGTCTTTAGAATACCTGAACTTGAGTACCTCCTAAATGAACCGGGTTCCTGCCCCCCAAGTCCTGCCGATGTACCAAATAAATCAGGCATTGAAAGTCCCCTCTCAACACCAAGTTCTAAATCATAGTTAGAAAATGGGGAGTGTGTTTGTAAAGGATCGGGCAACTGGCCTGAATTGGTACAGATCCTAGTAGCATCCATATCAATCGACATGTCCTCGTGGCTACAACTTCTAGATCCTAATGCTTTTGTCTCATCATTCTCACTACATACTAGTTTCAAGGCCTGAACAACCTCACCCATAAAAGGCCGGTGTGATACCTCTGGTTGCACACACATTGAAGCAATAGCAGCTACTTTGGAAATACTATCAAAAGGGAAATCAGGTCCCAGAGATAGGTCTACAATTGATTCTATCCCTTCTTTACTTGTGAGTAGTGGACGTGCCCATGTAACTAAGTTCTCTTGACCAGGTGGCCGAGACATGTCTACTGGTTTTCTTCCACTCAGGAGCTCAAGAAGGACGACTCCATAGCTGTAAACATCACTCTTCACGAGAAGATGACCGGTCATTGCATACTCTGGAGCCACATATCTGGTGGGAGGGAAAAAAGGAATAGTTAAGCGTATGAACATGTGGAATCCATTATCAACATTTCAATACTATTCCAATATCATATTACTATAATAAAACCATCTTAACATTCAAATCTATAGAAATCTCAAGTAATATGAAATAAAAAAAATATGCCAATTAAATACACATAATAAATGGAGATGTTTTCTTAGGTTTATTTGTGAAATAAAGAAATCAATCCATGCCCCTGTTTTAATTAATGTTGTGTTAAGTTTGTTAGAAGAAAAATGAGAAAAACTTAAAGGGTATATATATAATTTTAGAGGGAGAAAATTGAAACATTTTCAAAACCTTATCTTAAAATGTAATTTTCTAAAAGTTGATAAAGGGCACTTGCCCATCCTGGTCCCTCAGTGGCTTGCCACTGCCACCAATCTCTCTGTTCCCGAGTTCCGATGTATCAAAAAGAGCATAATCCATGAAGATGATAAATTTGGTGGATTATCGCGAGTTTTCTAGGGTGAGAGTAAATCCGGTAAACCAGAAAGAAAACTTTCATACCCAAAAGTTCCCATGACACGTGTACAGATGTGTCTGTTCTCCTCTTCCAATGCACTTCGAGCCAAGCCAAAATCGGCCACTTTTGATGTAAAATCATGTTCCAACAAGATATTGCTAGACTTGAAGTCCCTATGAATGACTCGGGGGCTTGAATCTTCATGCAAATAGGCTAGACCCCTAGCAGCTCCCAGTGCTATCTTCATCCGTGCACCCCAGTCAAGTGGAGCAGTTTCCTTGTCAACGCCTGAGAGCAGTCAAACAAAACACGCGTGAATAATAGCCATTTAGATAGGGTTGAACAACAGACATGAGCACTTGACACGACATGGACACACTGATATGGAAATTTGTCAAAAAATGTAGAACATGACACATGAGGACAAATGCAAAATATGTAATTTTATATATTTATTATGTCATATATAAGGTAAATAATTATTATATGTCATATATATGAATATTTAAGTTAAAGATGATAATTTTATAAGTTCAAAGGAGGAGAATAAGTACAAATTTACATTGTTTTTGTTCTATCATTAAATTCCAAGTTATTTTATTCAAACTTGTAAAGTGTTTTATGTGTCCAAGTGTTGGAAAGTGTTCAATGAGTATCGTGTTGTGCTGGTATCGGACACAACATGTTACCCTCTTAGAAGTGGCCGTGCTTCTTAGAGGATTTCTCAATAAAATGAATAAATTCATACCATGTAGATGAGATTCCACGCTGCCATTTGGAATGAGTTCATAAACTAGGCAGCGACTGCGCTCCTCTATACATATACCTATCAACTTGACCAAGTTTCTGTGATGAAGGCGGCTAAGCATTTCAACTTCAGCCATGAATTCACGACCTCCCTGCTGATCGTCTCTCTTAAGAACCTTGACAGCCACTTTTGTCCCATCTTCAAGAACACCACTATAAACACGACCAAAACCACCTTCACCTAGTATTCTTGAAGCATTGAAATTATTAGTGGCTCTCTCAATGTCACTTGAACTGAAGGTCTTAGCAGATCCAGCATAAGTTGCAACACTAGATCCAAATGATAATGAAGCAGAACTAGGCCAACTTCCAAACATAGAAGCAGCAATCCCTGCAACATATATAGATCATTTTAACCATGGAATAGTTAAAAATTATGAATCAACCCAATGTCAATGATATGAAAAATTTACTACAATTGGTTATTCATATATAATTAGATGATAATAGCCATCTACCACTAAGCTACTCATTTAGACCTAAGATCTCCAACATCTACATTGTATAATTATGATAACTTATAAAGTCCATTACCATTAATAACAACTGTTTTTGTTATTCTCCAGACCAACCATTATGATACTGCCATCCAGTGTTACGAGAAATTGCTAATAAACTAGTGAATTACATTTTGGAACACACATTTCGAAACATGGCACACTTTCGTTCCAAAATGGTATATTTAGCGATCTAAAGCAAAACGTTAAAAGTGGTCATAATGATTGAAATGTGTTTCTCCATGACTAATTTTATTAGATGTCTAATTGTTATAAGAAAATTACTCCAAAAGTACCTTAACTTCTTGTAGTGTAATCTATACAATTCTACTCTTATTGTACCACGTTTTAGAGCATGTGATGTGCCATGTTCCCATTGCTGTTCCATGTTCTAGGTAACATAGGTACCACCTATTTTAGCAATTAAATGGAAAAACTTCCATGATTTGTGTCATTTTTTGGTGTTGTGCACTAGTTACGACCTTTTAATATGTATTATGTTAAGGGGTCCAGTCTCTGTGAAACAGACAAAGGTTACTCTACACCTGGCTTTAAAATAGTGTTTAAGGATATTACCTGACGGCTTTGATAGGGACGGTAGAGTAGCCAAAGGAGTCGGCTCTTCTTGGAAGTCCCTATGTTTGAACAGTATAACCCATGCAATAACACAACATAAAATCACAACTATAGATGCTGACAAAACTATGATGGCGATAACACTGCCACCAAGCCCATCTTTATGCTGCCACTGCCTCACATCAACTCCTAGGGGCTGTATGGTCGTCCCATTATTGCCCTGCCCAGAATTCGGTCCACCATCTATCACATTAATGCTTGAAGGTGGAGAGGGGGGAAGACCTGTAAGACTGCTAAATGAATACCCACATTCAAATTAGGGTAAATTACACCATTAGACCTCGTAATTTAAGCGAAATGTCCCTTTAGTCTGCATAGTTTCAATTTGAATAATTTGAATCCTATACTTTCAGTTTTGTGGCAATGTTGTCCCTTTGTCATGCATCATTAACATTTTGAACTAAAAAAGATCACGTGCAAAACTAGGGACCAAAGTGGAATTCCAAAGAAACTATAGGGACCACCAGTGTACTGAATAAATTACATCGCTAGTCCCTATTTTGAATTGTACTTTGGCTCTTCTAGTTTTATACATGGTCTTTTTCCCTTCAAAATTCTAACAATAAGTGACGGAGGGATCGCATTGCAACAAAACTGAAGTATAGGGTTCAAATTGAAACTACGAGGACCAAAGTGAAATTTCACTCAAACTAGAGGGACCAACGGTGTAATTTACCCTTCAAGCTAATAATGTAGGAACAAATCAAGAAGAGTGAAGGTTAATTCAAGTACCAGGATAACGCAGGTACAATACTTCATAATCACCAAAAAGTGAAGTTTTTATTGCTACTTGTTTGTGCCAGAATCTCTCAAATGTCAAATATGCTGTTGTGTTATCAAATTTATCTCCAAGAGGTACCAAATCAACGAGGACAATTGTCTTCTCTGGATCTTGGCTAGCTGCATTTGCTCCCATGATGCGAACTTGACTTTGCTTCATAAAAACCCCAACAGCAATTTCCTGAGCAATCTCTGAAACCAAAGGGAAGAAGGTATACAATGCTACATTTAATCGTAGTCCAACTTGCATGGGCAAGACACAACCACAGGGTGATCCTGGAAGATTGTTTGTTAATGGCTCCGTGCATGTTAGCGATGAACAATCTACAAATTGGATTGAACTATATATTAAAATTCTGTTGTGAAGCATAAACCAATATATACGATTAACAATATGGAGATACTAAACTTACTGGTGTAAAGGGAGGCCAGAACTTATATACCTTCATTAGGAGGAGGAGGCGGTAATGCTTGAATTGGTGGTGATAGTGGCATCTTTGGATTCTTTGGTGAAGACCCAGAAGGAGAAATTTTAGGGGAAAGAAAGGGAACTTGCAATGCAAACATGATCAATGAATAAGCCATCAACTAGGCAGTATATGATATAACAAATTTCACGAAATTTATTTATTTATTTTTATCGTCGATAAAAGGAAAAAGGAGAAAAAGGAGACTTCCTTACATTTCGTTTGTCGAGATGGAGCTGTTGAAGATGGTGAGGGTGCAGGTGAAACATGACTCTCTGGTGAAGGAAAGGGGGAATGGGATGGGAAGACAAAATAGCATGCCATGTAAGATCGGTGTCAGAGGTTGAAAAAATCACTTTTATGTATAGATTTGATGAGCATGAACTTTCATAAGTGTTTAGATACCTGGATTCATGGGTGGAGGAGCATGGTCCCTTAGCCTACTCTTTGGATGTGTTTTGGAAGGATATGAAGGAGCTGGTGGGATGATAGGATCTTCACAAAATATTAAAACAAAGAATTTAAATAAAAAAAATTGAAAAAGAAAAAAAAAATACTTTGTGCAATATATCATAATAACCCACAAAAATAAACTTGGTGGTGAAATGTCTTAATTAAAATATCAAACCTTGCTGACTTGAAGCAGGAGGAGGAGGAGGCATAACTGATGATGGAGCAGTATTGGTGAAATTATTCTTTGCATGATGATGCTTATGAAATGAGGTTGAAGGTAAAGATGCAGGAGAATGTGACCCTATATCCAGAGGAGACTTCGGTGATGAAAGAGGAGGAGCAATATTGTTAGAGTGCCTCAAGGCTTTGTGCATGGAAGGAGCTGCAACAGAAAAAAGAACCAGGTAAATTATGTTGATAACATTTTCAGTTAGGTTAATTACATCTTTAGTCCCGAAAGAATGAGTTTTGTGTTATTTTGGTCTCTAACGTTTAAATTGTATCAATGTAGTCCCCTGCATATAAAAACGTGTTTCAATTTGGTCCCCAACCTAACTTTGTTAATAAATGCATTAAAGTCAGAGGTAAATGTGTAATTTTGGAGATCAAAATGACACAAATCATATATTTTATGGAGTAAAAGTGTAACTTTTCCAAGTGAGTATTAATGATACAGATGACAAATTTTGGAGACAAAGTATAAATTTTCAAGTGAGTTTCCACATTTTCCCCTGATGTCTTTTTTGATAAATACATTTTCCCCTGATGTTATCGGCCTCTCCTAACGTAGTTAGGTTGGGGGAACAAATTGGGACACTTTTTATACATGAGGACTAAATTGACACAATTTAAACATAAAGAACCACGACACAAATAACATACTTTAGGGAGTGCAAATGTAATTTAACCTTTTCAGTTATTTCTGACAACACTCCCATATAACAAGAAATTCAGTGCTTCCCAACAGACCTTTTGTAGGGGAAGGGTTCACTGGTGAAAAATGATTGGGTGTTTCATTTGGACGTGCAGCAACAGGCATGCCATCACTTTTCCCGTTGATTCTTTTGGGAGGAGCTAATACAGGAGGAACATCAGGTTCTGTAACACCATATTGGGATCAATGATATTCAAAATTCATAAAATCATAGAGAAATTCTACCAAGCTGGCAGGATCTCTGTTTGGAAAGAAAATGGAGATGAGATGGTCAAATTTTTCTCTCTACACTAACTTAAACATGCTAGCACTCATCCTGAAATGACTGCACAAAAGAAACAGATTCATTTTAAATTCTAGAAATACAAAAGGTACTAATCTAATAGCTATGGAGAAAAAAAAGATCGACAGTTTCATTCTAATCAACAGTTTCATTCTCTTTTTTTCCAGCTTCCAGACAACAAACAACTCAATTTAAAAACATATTCCAACTAAATGGAGGTGGCAACAAATTTAATCTCAAGATAATGCAGAGTATTAAGTGCTATCATTATTTGGTCAAGACCATTGGTGCCAAGTCCTTTCTTTCAGCCTCAACCATGCTTAAAGCAACACAATATAAATTAATCTAAAGAGTAGTCACAGATATGATATAGGGATACAATACAATAAAGATATGCTAATACATCAAATTCTTTAAAATTTGGATTTGGATACATCAAGAACATGGAAACAGATATATGTACACATCTATGTTTATTGTGTATGTGGAAAAATGGTAGTGACAACAGTTCCAGTTCAAGATGTTCCCGCCACTACGAGATCTAGGGAGAGTCAAATGCACACAAGCTTACCACTGCATCTGAAGAGCCTGTTTCCCTAGTTTGAATCCATGATGTTCAGGTCACAATGAAGAAACCTTACCACTAAGGCCTCCTAAAGCAGGGCAGTTCTAGTGCACAAGGCTCTCTCCACTACAGGTTGAACAACTGATTTTTTCATGATATTGGCATGTAAACTATCACTCCTAATGACTCCATTAAAATATTTTACATAATTGTGATATTAGAATTTACGTAAGAAAATATGGGTTATGTTACTATAGAATACTACAATAGCAATCTGATCCTAGATTCCTAGTAACGTAAGGTAAGCCCAATTCTCCATCTCCATAAGTAACCAAAGTATTTGAAACTCTTTTTATGTTTTTCTTGACAACTATCTCTAATGCAAAAAAAAAAAGAAAAAAAGCCATGTACGGGTTCAGGATGTGTTGGATTTATATCCTACAGCATATGACAAATATTGGAAAACTTAACAAAATTATAAAAAGTTATATTCAGTTACGGTATGCTTTGAAATATTGGAAACATATCAACATCCAAAAGAGTGTTAATATCAACAACTATGATATGGATATGACTCTCTTCCAAGTATCCTGCTACATTGAAAATAATGAAGGCAAGTTGCAATAACATTTTTTTTTTTTTTTTTTTTTAATTACAAGTTGAAAAAAAAGTTGCAATAACATTTAAATTTTGATGCTCCAAAAAAAAAAAAAAACTTTAAATGTCCCACAATCACTTCATTAGAATTGAAACAGAAAGTCAAGAGATATATGAAGGAAAAAGATGCCAATAACATAATTGTATTAACTGCAAATAAATCCACCTTTAGTTCTTCAATTGGATCCAAAAAACTACAAATTCTTTTAAAATTAGAAATTAAATAATAAAATATATCATCTAAGGTTATACCTGGTGAATTGGATGGAGGTTCTCTATGAATTGTAGGGTGGGTGGTTGGTGAATTTCGCAGCAGTTTGCTTGGAGGTGATGCAACAGGCACTGCATTTTAGCAACAAACGAACGGATGTCAGGTAAAACAAAATTAACAATCTTTTCTTTTAGCAACAAGAAAAGGGATGTCATATCCTACAGCATATGAGAAATATTGGAAAACTTAACAAAATTATAAAAAGTTATATTTAGTTATGGTATGTTTTGAAATATTGGAAACATATCAACATCCAAAAGAGTGTTACTATCAACAACTATGATATGGATATGTCTCTCTTCCAAGTATCCTGCTATGTTGAAAATATTGAAAGCAAGTTGCAATAACATTTAAATGTCCCACAATCACTTCATTAGAATCGAAACAGATAGTCAAGAGATATATGAAGGAAAAAGATGCCAATAACATAATTGTATTAACTGCAAATAAATCCACCTTTAGTTGACAAATAAAGATTTTATGAGTACATATGGCTTCATTTGGATCCAAAAAACTACAAACTCTTTTAAAAATAGCAATTAAATAAAATATATCATCTAAGGTTATACCTGGTGAATTGGATGGAGGTTCTCTACGAATTGTAGGGTGGGTGGTTGGTGAATTTCGCAGCAATTTGCTTGGAGGTGATGCAACAGGCACTGCATTTTAGCAACAAACGAACGGATGTCAGGTAAAACAAAATTAACACTCTTTTCTTTTAGCAACAAAAGAAGGGATGTCATATCCTACAACATATGAGAAATATTGGAAAACTTAACAAAATTATAAAAAGTTATATTCAGTTATGGTATGTTTTGAAATATTGGAAATATATCAACATCCAAAAGAGTGTTACTATCAACAACTATGATATGGATATGCGTCTCTTCGAAGTATCCTGCTATGTTGAAAATAACAAACACAAGTTGCAATAACATTTAAATGTCCCACAATCACTTCATTAGAATCGAAACAAACAGTCAAGAGATATATGAAGGAAAAAGATGCCAATAACATAATTGTATTAACTGCAAATAAATCCACCTTTAGTTGACAAATAAAGATTTTATGAGTACATATGGCTTCATTTGGATCCAAAAAACTACAAACTCTTTTAAAAATAGCAATTAAATAAAATATATCATCTAAGGTTATACCTGGTGAATTGGATGGAGGTTCTCTACGAATTGTAGGGTGGGTGGTTGGTGAATTTCGCAGCAATTTGCTTGGAGGTGATGCAACAGGCACTGCATTTTAGCAACAAACGAAGGGATGTCAGGTAAAACAAAATTAACACTTTTTCTTTTAGCAACAAAAGAAGGGATGTCATATCCTACAGGATATGAGAAATATTGGAAAACTTAACAAAATTAGAAAAAGTTATATTCAGTTATGGTATGTTTTGAAATATTGGAAACATATCAACACCCAAAAGAGTGTTAATATCAACAACTATGATATGGATATGTATGTCTTCCAAGTATCCTGCTACTTTGAAAATAATGAAGGAAAGTTGCAATAACATTTAAATGTCCCACAATCACTTCATTAGAATTGAAACAGATAGTCAAGAGTAGGGATGAAATCGGTGCGGTGCGGTCCGGTTTTGAGGTATTTTTGCGCCGAACCGCACCCTTCGGTTTTCCATCGATCTACACCAAACAGACCGAATTGCTGGTAAGAACCGCACCAAACGGTTTTACGTTGGGGCGGTGCGGTTCGGTCAGCACATGTCGGTTCTTCGATCTTCAACAAAATCTTTTCTTGAAGGTGAAAGACCATTGGTGAACACATGAAGAAGATGAAGATAGAAGATGGAAGATGGAAGATGGAAGAAGATGAGAGGGTTTTGAGAGAGAGAGAGAGAGAGAGATCTAACCTTCACATGAAGAAGATGAAGATGGAAGATGGAAGACCCACAAAATATTTCGTAGGAAGAAGATGAAGCATATAAACCTTCCATTGATGAACACACACAAAAATATAGAGAGAAAATATAGAGAGCAAGAGAGGAGCATTTGTTTTGTAGAGAGTTGCAATTACTCTTAGAAACATCCAAGACCATGAGATTCATTCTTGAGCAGTGTAATAATTAGGTAGAGAGAGGGAGTTTTTTTATTTTTTTTATTTTGAGCAATATGAAACATTGGGCAGTGTGAAAGCGTGTTTGAATATTGGAATTGAATACATGGATGACCTGCACGAAAATAATAATAAAAAATAGCTGGACAATAAATAATAGTAATAAAAAAAGAGGGAGTATATATCGGTGCAGTTCGGTGTATATGATTTTCAAATTATAATTACCGAAAAACCAAACCAAATTTCGATTTTTTGTTTTAACATAACCGAACAAACCGAAACAATAAAAAAAACAGACCAAAACCGACCGGTTCAGTTCAGTTTGGTCGGTCCAATCGGTTTACCGGTTTTTCCTTTCACCCCTAGTCAAGAGATATATGAAGGAAAATGATGCCAATAACATAATTGTATTAACTGCAAATAAATCCACCTTTAGTTGACAAATAAAGATTTTATGAGCACATATGGCTTCATTTGGATCCAAAAAACTACAAATTCTTTTTAAAATAGAAATTAAATAATAAAATATACCATCTAAGGTTATACCTGGTGAATTGGATGGAGGTTCTTTATGAATTGTAGGGTGGGTGGTTGGTGAATTTCGCAGCAATTTGCTTGGAGGTGATGCAACAGGCACTGCATTTTAGCAACAAAAGAAGGGATGTCGGGTAAAATTTTAACAAGAAAAAGTATATATTAGTGTAACTGTATAAAGCGCACCAGGAAAAATGGATGGTGGTACTCCTGGCATGATTGGCTTCCTGGATGGTGGTAGATTCTGTGGCATTTTCTTTGGCACTAGGGCATTTGGTACTGCATACAATATTAACCAGCAGTTTATAACCAAGCTTAACCAAAAAAAAAAAAAAATTCATCAATCGGGTACCTGGAGCAATTGGCATAGAAAGAGGAGCCTTACTATCTGGCGCTTTGATTTGATGAGAACTAGGTGGCATCGATCCTGGCATAATTGGGTGGATGGTTGGTGGCTTTTGTGTGGATTTGTTTGAAGGTGATGCAGCTGGTGTTGAACATTGAAACAAAACAAGAACTTTAAAATCAAGTTCAACCAGAAATCTTGCTTTGTCACAATAAAACCATATTTAGCAGTACCTGGAGTAACTGGCACAGAGATGGGATTTTTACTTTTTGGTTCCTCTTTTTCAGGAGCACTTGGTGGCAGGGATGGTACAATTCCATGAAAAGTTAAGGGAGGAGGAACAGAACTGTATGGCGGCGGAACTGTAGGAGTACTTGGTGACAAGGATGGTGCAATTCCTTTCACTGTTTGGGGTGATGGTGTAGACTTGCGGGGTACTAACACAGACGGAGGGTGTAGAACTGATCCTAAATGGTCAAACCAGAAGTCAAATAAAAATGATATCAAGACCAATTCACATCCCAGGATTATGGAGTCTTACCATTTGATTGAGATTCGGAACTAGGTGCATTGCTTCTCTTTGCACTAGGTGCATTGCTTCTCTTTCCACGAGGAGCATGACCGGGGGACTGTTCTTGGATAGAAGGAATTGCAGAAAAAGTTGCTGGAGATGGAGAAATTTCGTACCCTGAAAGCGAACACAATGCTAATACTTACAAGGAAGATGACTCAGTGACTTGCTGGAAACATAAAAATTGTAAATCCTTCATATATTTAGTTGGACAAAATGCAAACTCTTTCTAGTGAATGTTGTATTCATTGGGGGTTTCGTAGTCCCATGAAACTGTCAGTCCCCTGCCATTTTATGACAATCAAACATGATTTTGCAAGGCCCACAAATTAATCCAATCCCACCCTCTAAGAGGCTAAACAAACATGGCCATTGTTCCTAGTTTCTTCACTAATCAATTTTATCATGACTACAAGGGAGGACTGTTTCAGCTTCCACTAGAATTTACAGAATGATTCTCATTAATTCAATGACTTTTGTTCTATGGGTGAAGGGGAAAAAAAGTTGCTTCTAATACTCATCAATCGGGAGAATAAAATCATCCAAATGTAACAAAATTTGCAAACAATTCTGTGGGGTAACTAATCTGACAAAGGTGATGTATAAAATCCACTCCACAATTTGCTTAAATTATTGCTCTGGGGAATTGAATCACCCAACAAGAGCATAGGAAGACCACAAAACAGATTAAGGCTCGACAAATGCATTCCTCTCAGATGCCTCGGTAAAGAATTACTGGATGAAGTTGGTGTTTAAGTTAATGCAGCTAAAGAACAGTGCTCCTATAAGAAAATTGAGTGTTCACCCTTGAAATTTTTCGGAAGGTAACACTTAAAAACCAACCAGCTTCAACTTCTAGAAAAAAAAACAAAAAAAACAAAAAAATTAAATAAATGAATACTAATGCACATAATTATAACATAAAATGACAACATGCTCAGATGACAAAATGCCAAATTCCAATTCCATCAATCTCAGCTGTTACAATCAAAACAAAGTATATTATAAACATCGAGCAAATATCTGCAGGAGCCCCAAATATTGGATCACATAGCCAACTTTGGAAAAATATAATTTATCTACCCATATCACCAAATTATTGTCCAGAGACGCCAAAAAAAATTGAAAAAAAAAAAAAATATTCATCAACACCCACATGAACATTGAAAAATAAAACAAAATCAAATATAAGCATTGAGTAAATATCTGAAGGTTCGCCAAACAACGGATCATATAACCAACTTGGAAAAAATAAAACTTACCTACCCATATCACCAAATTGTTGTCCAAAGGCACAAACAAAACAAAAAACGAAAAATCATCAACATCCACATGAAATTTCACAAAATAACCACATGGGCTAATTTCTATAGGATTAAAACATAAAGTGAAAATTAAAAAAAAAAAAAATCACCTGCAGATCTTTGAACAACCAAAGCAACAGCAATGGCGAACAGTTTCACCACCAAGCAAACCACTTGCAGAGCCAAACCCATTCCATATAGTACTCCAAAACCTCAATACTCTCTCTTAATCCCAACCTCCTTAACGATGAAAAGAGAATTAAACAGTAGTAGTAAAATAATGAACATATAAATTAAGTGATAATAGATTGATGATTTGAAGAAATAAGAAAAAGGGGAGGTTAGATTAAAGAAGACCCAAAAATGGAGAGAGACAAGCAATGAGGAGGAAGTTTATGGAAAGCCCCAAAAAGGAATTCTTGAGAAGAAGGCAAGGAAGGAAGCAATGAGTTTGGGAGTGTATGAGGTCTGAAAATGAGCTCTGAAAATTGCAGGGGTTTGAGATTGGCATGTTGCTGGACACAGAGGTTTCTTTCTACTAGCGACATGAGGAGAGAGAGAGAGAGAGTAATTAAAGGCTGTGTATTAAAATCTGACCAACTAACAAACAACACTCACATCTCACCGCTCTCCAGGCAACTGACTCCTTCTTGTCAGAAAGAGAGAGAGAGAAAGAGAAACGCTTATTTTGAATCGCGGCGTGTCTACATGTATCAATTAATATATTAATATTAATATATTAATTAATATATCAATATAAATTATAATATTATTATTAATTTTAATTATTAATTATATTATAAATATTAAAAAAAATTTAATTACGTCACATCATCAATTAATATACTAATTGTTGAATATAATATTATTCTTTAAAAAATAGGTTAAAAGTCACTTTTTTTAACTTTTTAATTTATTTTTTGTCTAATAAAAAAATGTTAAAAAAGTCAAAAAAAAAAAAAAATTTTAATCATCTTCTCAAAACATTTCAAAATCATTAATATTCGGTTTTGAGTAATATATTACTAAAACAAAAATTTAAAAAAAGCCAAAAAAAAAAAAATAATAATAAACACCACCAAAGAGAGAAGGAAAAAAAAGGTTTTATATTTGTTGGGGTGTGGCGTGAGGGAGCCAAAAAGCAAGTTACACTTAGGCCTCGTTTGGCAAAAAGTTTGTTTAGTCAAAAAATTAAAAAGGCGCTAAAAAATCAAAAAGTAAATTATTCATAATAAAAAGGTAAAAATTTTCTTTTCTCTCTATTTTTTGTACATCTTTTCTTAAAAAGTCAAAAAGTCATCCCAAACATAATAATTTTTTTTAGCTCATATTTTAGCCAAATAACAAAAAAATTACTAAATTAACCTGCTCCCAAACGAGGCCTTACTCCCTCAATTGTCCCTATTTTTTATTTTATTCCTTGAAATTAAAAATTAATATAATATATCTTTTTTATTTTTTAAAAGTTTTTAATTTAATCTTTATGTCTTCATTCTATTAATGAAACAATCAAAAAATGTACATTATATAATGTGCACATTATATTTATGACAAAAATATTGATTTATCATAAATGTGTTATATGCACATTACATGTATATTTTTCATTAGTTTTGTTAACAGAATAGAGATATAATGATTAAATTGAAAATTTTTAAAAGATGAAGGAGTACATTATATCACTTTTTAATTTGAGAGACTAAAGTAAAAAAAAAGGATAATAATTGAAGTGGTAAAGTGTAATATGCCAAAAAAAGAAAAGAAAATTACCAAAAAAAAAAATTCAAAAAAAACCCCTAAGTTTAACCTTTATCATAAAATAAATGGAATTTTTAATTTTATCAATTTAAATTTTAATCTTTTAATTTATTTTTAATTTAAATAATATGTTTTTTTTTATAAATAAAACTAATAAAAAATGATATTATAATTTTTAAGCTCAATGAAAAATGATATTTTAAATATTTTATGTATATTGTTTAAGTTTAATATCTAATTTTTTTTTGTCTATTTTACTTAATAGAAATAGATGAATGATTTAAATTAAAAATAAATAACAAGTTTAAATTTAAATTTAAAAAATTTAAAATTTAAAATTCATCTTATTATAAGAATTAAACTTTATTTATTTTTTTTATAATTTCTCATAAAAAAAAACAGTACGTAATATTTTGTGCAAAAATTATTCAGTGCAACTGCACAAATTCAGGTTGTTTGGGCAAAGTTGGCTTTTTCCAAAAAGGAGTTAAAAAGATGAAAAAAAATCAACAACTCAAAAAAAAAAGAAAAAAAAAAGGTCAAAAATAAATAAAACAAAGTCAAAGATCACAAAAAATATATATATTGAAAAAATAAGATATCACATCAATCATTTAATTTTTTTTAAATATTACAATTAAAAAAATAATAAGAGAATTATATGCAGGGAGAAAATAGAAAAAAAATTATGCATTCCTATGCGTTTGTGATTTTTTTTTTTAATCTCTCATTTACATGTAATTTTTTTAAAAATAATTATTCCTAAACACAAAATTTTATTCACTTCATAAAAAATTAAAAATTTAATAAAAAAAAGTCAAATCTCAAACCATATCACATTGCATGTAAGGTGACTGTTTTACAGTAATCACTGTTGTTTAGGGTGATAGAACCCATTTCGGGTTTGCCTTAATGATTTGAACCGTTTAATAATTATGAATTTTCAAATAAAATATTTCTGTAAAAAATTAAATTGATTTGACATCGATAACATTATAATCAAATTAATTTTGTGTCAATATAAAATATAAAATTGATTTGATCATAACGCTACCCATGTCGGATCAATTTAATTTTTTCCAAAAATGTTCTCCTCATAAAACTCTATCAACGATGTGAATTATTAAGACAGGACTTGAAATGAGACTCATCACCCAAACAATAGTGATTATTGTGCAAAGGTACAATAACGTTATCATTCTCACGTAAATTTAGGGTGAGGTTATGTTTTTACATAACAAAAATATTTGATGGCCTAAATTTGTGTCGGTTGAATGGCTTGAATGTGTCAAAATAATATCGTTTTGTACACAAAGTGACGTCGTTTTGATTATTTTAAGCCATTCGAGCCATGAATTTTCGAGTTGCTTATCATTATTGTTTACATAACCGAGTAAGGATTATTTGTGACTTACATGAATTAGGCTGTGGCACTGGAGTGGACATTGGCCCGTTGACTTATTTAGCCCGTGCGGCTCAGTTTTATTTATTTAGGATTTAGAAAGGTTGTTTAGTTTATAGGGTTAGGTTAAGTCAATATTTCCAATCCAATATATTAATAGTTGGGTTTAAAATTTATATTTTCAACCCAACCTGATCCAACCCGCTATTAAATTAATTAATTAATTATAATATATTAAAATATATTTTTTTTGTTGGAATTTAGATTATATATATGTTGATTTTATAAAAACTCACATTTCTAATGATGTGTGATTGAATTTATTTAAGAAATCCATCAATTTATACACAAAATATTTCAATTTATAATGATACCAATATATTTATTTAGGGTAAATTACAAATACACCCCCTGAGGTTTGCTTAAAATAAAAATTATCCCTTATGGTTTGAAAAATTACAAATACCTCTTTGTTAGTATTTTTTATTTAACAGAATTAACTAAAAAATGAAATTCATAATTGCTCTTCTATACAATAATAAAATTACTTAAATTATTAAGGCAAATTACATATACTCGCGAGGTTTAGCAAAATTACAGATACCTCTTGAGGTTTGAGAAATTACATATACCTCCCTAAAGGTTATATTTGCATAACAAATTAGGGGGCAAATTATTATGAAAATATAAACCTTAGGGGGTATCTGTAATTTTCGAAACCTTAGGAGTATCTGTAATTTAGCTAAACCTCGAGGGAGATATATGTAATTTGCCCAAATTATTAATTAAAACATACTTTTAATATCATTAAAAACTGTTAATTGACTTGATGATTCATTAATAAAATGAACGATTTGTTATGAAATTAGAAACCTTAGGGGGTGGAATTTAATTTCCAAAATCACAGGGGGCGATTCGTATTTTAATCAAACCTCATGGAGTGTATTTGTAATTTACCCTATAATTTATTTTAACACTTATATTCATATTTTTTTATATTGTCCATGATATACTAGTTATAAATAACATTATTTTTTTGATATTTCTCGAAATCAATTGTAAAAACTTGCGTGAAATATTTTTGTAAAATTTTTCGATATTGTAATTAATAGGTGCCCCCTCTAATTTAATTTTCTGACTTCGCCACTGGCTATCACAAATATATATACATATATATATATATATATATATCTCAATTAATTAGGAACGACACCAAATTATACCTTTTAGTTGACACAATTTTATCGTTGCACATATGGTGATCAAAATCATGTAATTTCATAACTTCTGATAATTTGATTTAAGTGTCTTAAGTTTCAAACCACTTAGAATGACACATCCTTGTGCTGCATATTTTGACAACCTATTTTGTTGTTGTAAAAATTTTAAAAACAAAAAATTTGAACCATACACATAGGCTTGGTTTGGGAAGTAGGTTGGCTTTTTGGCTTTTTGGCTTTTTTGGCTATTTTAGCCTGGGCTAAAAAGCTTGGTTTGGGAAGGGCTTTTTGATTTTTTTGACTTTTTTTGTGAGAGAAGAGTATAATGATTATGAGATGGATGTGATGTTTTATTTTTTGTGACTAAAATAGCCTATTTTGTCTTTTGTGGCTAAAATAGCCAAAAAAACCCCAAATAGCTCTTCCCAAATGGAGCCCGTCACCCACACACCACCATCACCACCCACCACCCACCACCCACTGTCACCACTTTCCACCACCGTCTTTCGTCGCTACTTGTCACCACTTGCCATTTCTCACTCTTTTTTATATTTTTAAAATTTTTTAAACATTTTGTCAATTACCAAATGCATTTGTAATTTGTGTTTTTTTAAAAAATAAACAAAAACCAGTTTATAAAATTTTTGTAAATATAAACTGAAAACGTAAACGTTACCAAACACACCAAATGTTTAATTAATTTTTTTTTTTTTAACATATTGCTCGATGAGTGGACTTGTAATTTATAATTATTTTTTAGATGGGACTTGGGTAGATGTAAAGACTCGATGTTAGGGTCATGCCTGATTTGGGCAGACAAAAAATCCATTATTATATAGTGTCAACCCGACCTGAAAAATGTTCATATCTATTTGGCACTGAATATATAGTCTATTTTGTGATAGTAATAATTTAAAATTTAGATACAAATACAATTCGATAAAAGTACTATTGATGTACGATCAATTTAACTTTTTACAAATATGTTATACCCGACATATCTTAGACAGTGAATTCAAAAAATGGATCCCAAAACCCACACAGCAGTGGCTGCCAACAGCTACCCCAATCCCCTCAAAATGTGGGTCATTTTTTTTCCTTTGCAACTCTTCATGCATTTTTATCCTACCTTAGAAGCTAAAAATATTCAGGTTAGAGGTCTATTTTGAAAAAAATTAGGTCAATAGGCCGAAGTTCTATTCTTTTGGTGCCAAACGAACATTTATAATTTGAAAGAGTATTTTATCCTTATTTATGTGTTTATATATTCAAGTCATTTATCTACGCTAT